TGCTGAAACTTGCGGTTAGGGCAATTAACAATCTGGGCTCCAGAGTATCTTTGAGAGATAAGTTTAAAGGAATTAAGATTCTTACACTAGTCGTCACAGTACATCTATGGAAATGTAATTTATGTTAAGAAGGAACAGTAATTTCTTTATGAAAAATAGTGACAGACATAACATTAATACGAGGAATAAAAATAAACTAGCTGTTCTTGATAGTCATCTTCACAAAGTCAGAAATTCATCTAATTTTTTTGCAATGTATACGCTTCTATAACAAGATTCCGGTTGATATAAAAAATTTTCCATTCACGAGGTTTAAAACTACAGTGAAACAAAAACCTTATAAAAAGGCTAATTTGGATGACATAAATCGGTGGTAGTAACCCGTTTAGCTCATGGAGGTAGTCTCGATCTCTGATGTTTGAAAACAAAATATATATATATATATATATATATATTGTAAATGTTGAATGTGTACAATGTTATTTACAAAGAGCAAACCCTGGAGTTTCTGGGTCATTCTTCTTAGGGGAATTTGCCTTACGAATGAGCGGTAGAGTTTAGTCAATGTGACGATTTCAAGTGTAATAAACGCTTACCTTTGAAATAAAGATTATTTTGATTTTGAATTTGAATTAGGTAATTGGCTGTGTAGAAGGCGACGAATTGCATTACTATTACATCTCATAAAATTTGTAACATTGCGTAATAAATGACAGTTATTTTTGATGGTAATTTGTTTACAATATTGTGCTAACGATGCATCGACAGATGATAACAATGATGATGATATGATGAGCCTTGACAAACACACGATAAAATAATTGAATAAACTAATCGTTGACTAGAAATCTTATCAATTAAGATTATCTCCTTAATAAGGGACATGTTTCAATATTTCTTTCAGTACGACGTATGTCCTTACGGTAGGACGACGTACTGTGACTTGGATAATCTGTTAGTGTTTTTTATAGTTTTTTAGTTTTCTTATAAATTTATTTCAAAAGTTGATGTTTTAGTTTAATTGTTACAGTTTTCTTTGCTATTTATATCAGAAGTAAGTATATACTATTAATTATTCCGTTATTTATGTTTGCTTTTCGTAACATACATTTCTATAATTTGCATTATAAGACACATGTCATGAGTGACAATGGGAAAATAATTGAACAATGTTATAAAATCAAATAGCATATATTCCTATCTATACACTGGTTTGCTCGTTTAATTGTCTATTAATAGTATTTTTTATTATTATTTTTTTTAATTTAGTGACTGTGTTCTTTGTTTTTTCTTATAATCTCTTTTTGGCTTGCTAAGCACTTTATATTGTTTCATGTCAGTGGAAATTCGTAAATAGCATTGGATTACTCATATTTAAGTATACCATAATTGTATTATTCGTCCGTGAATTTTCTTAAAATGTATAAATAAATAAATCTTCATAAAACCGTACTTGTTCTGGCAAGTAAGATCCTGGCTAAAACGTTTCTTACAAATACGGTGTCTTTATATTGGAAATAACCTTCTTATGAATTTTCATTTTAGATTAGCTGATATGCGATCTTGTTTTATCGTTGTGTGATTTAACTGCATATTTCGAAATAAATCATTTTGTCCCTGATTTACTACTTTGGATGTAATTAAAACTATTAATGATGTAGGTGAGCACTTAGTCAATTTTGTAATGTATAAACTCAATGTAAAATTCGTAACATTAAGTTATGAATTTGCAATTGTTACTATTGTCAGAATTGTTAAGTTGCAGTGTATGGAGTGTTTATGAATGTTGTGAAGTCCTCACTTCAAATCCAAATTTAACTTGTGATGACATAGCAATTTAAAACAGGGCCCTGGGATTCAGGGACTCAGAGACAGGGGCTTCGATCACTGCTTTGGATCGTGGTTGGTTAAGTAAGTGTCCATTGCCGTCCAACGAGGCAATGTTGCCAGTGTAGTGGCAACGTTCGAGCCAGTCACGATACAGGTGGATTTTCAAAAGTTAGGACTGTTTGACTAAATCTTTAATCCCAGCAAATACCAGTTTTTGTATTTTAGTAAATGATTAAATAAAGGTATCAATTTAAAACATATGCGCAACAAATCTGTGGAGGGATTCACGGTAAAGTTAATTCCAAATTGGGCCTGCCTCACGAGCGAAATAAAAGGGCATCGGGGCCTTTCGGGCCGAGTGGTCTACTACCCTGTTTTGCCGCCCCCGACCTTGCCGCTCAGATTTCTCATGAGAATGTAATATATTCTTTGGATTATTTTTTTTACCGGCCATATAATTTTGTAAGCAATATGTAACATGTTGGTTACAAAATTATATGGCATGTTGGCAAAGTTCATAAAAAACCGACCTCAAAAGTTCGTGCAATTACATCTATTTGCCAAGTTTCATTGAAATCGGTTACCGGAAAGTGTGGGAAACGGAATTGATCCTCTACTTTGCCACCCTTGGAGATGGAATATTTTCTTCAAATTTAAATGGAACTGCTACTTGACGTCTTTCCAACAAAGAAGGATCATCAAAATCGGTTCACAAAGTCGTAGTTATTGCGTAGCGTACATGCAAAATAAAACGTACAATGGAATTGAGGACCGCCTCCTTTTTTTGAAGTCGGTTAAAAAAGAACATCGAAAAGAAAGAGGTGTCTCGACTATTCAATCAGTAAAGTTGTTCTGGTTATACGAACGTTTTAACACACTAGGCTTTGATTATAAATTAGTACTCTAAACAAAGGCGAAATAATTAGGTTATAGCACTTCATTACAATGTTTTGTAGGAGTTATCTGCTTTCTTTATTTAACGGTTAATCGCTCATTGTTGCAAAATACTACACGATTAGGATTTTCCTTAAGCATTGCGCATATGTATGTTGTTTATGTTAAGTAATTGTATATCTAAGTTTAAACATCACTAATATTTAGTGAATGTTATTAACATTGATACCAATATTCATTATTAGACAAAGTTCTGATAAAAAGTTCGATTCCTATAACTAAACGAAACTACTTTCTCTTTATTGTTTATTTTTACGAAGATAGGCAAATACTTCCTCCATCAGACCTTTACTTCCTACAAAGATTGACTTGAAAGTAACATAAATTACTCTGATGCACTTAGTAAATTACATGTCAAGTTTTCTTAGGTTTTCGGGTTTGTTAAACATTGGGAAGATTCGGATCTAAGTATCATCACCTCTGTCTCCCACCGGGGTAGGCAGAAGCCACGGACCTCCACCTTCTACGTTCTTGACAAACCTCCTTCGCTTCCTCTACTCACATCAGTCTCTTCATATATGTTTAACGTGTAAATTTTTTAAACAAACTAACGTTTCGGGCCGTATGTTAGTCCCATGGTCAGCGATGATGTGGAATATACGCGAAATTGATCCGATAAAATAGTTTAATTTATTTTGATCTTAATTTTATGCGAAGAAGAGCATTTTTGCGTTTGCATTTTTGGTGGTATATATTAGGGTTACCTGTCAGTAGTCCGAAATGACATTTTCCAGAAATAACGTTTGGTCGAAATTTCGTAACCTCGAAAGTAATTTTGAAAGGAAAATATTTTTTCTTTTAAACCTAACTTAATCTAACCTAAACGAACCTAATCGTGTCTGCGATAAACATTCAACATATCCTGAAAGAACAACTGTTTCGTTAGAATTCGGTTTTCGGTGTAATGAAAATTCAAACAAACGGTATTTCGAGCAAAAAAACTTTCGACTTTGTGATTAAGCACGTATTCTAACCATGGACGAGTATTGAGGCTTAAGATGGCGTGAACTTATCACTGGACCGTGCAATATTATTATTATTATTATTATAGTGACTAGGCTAATCGAATTGTTCGTGATATATAAACTCTTTTGCACGGCCTTTGGTACAAAAAACTTTCACTAGGCCTTAGTTTTTTCCTATAGTCGGATGCCATTGTGCCTTGTGCTTGTTTTGAATTCATGTCCGCAACGGCGTCACAGTGGTGAATTTCTTTTAGTAAGTCATATACATACATAGGAAACTACGTATCTTTTGTGATTTAAATTAAAAGAGAAACCTATTTCACACTTAATACATTTTATCTAAAAAAGTACCCTGTAAGTGTTTAGATTTTTAATTCAACGTATTCAAATATTTGATTATAACAGATAACAAACAAGTGTCACATCCCTACTCGATTGTCGTAAAACACTATTTTAGGAGCTCCGATCCGATCCTATACGGTGCGATAACACTATCACAACAATTGAAAAACGTCAAATCAAATCGGCTTTTAGTGTTTATAATTCATAATCTAGTTCGTGTTATCGGGGCTTTACTAATAAAAAAGATTGTTTTGTTGTCTATGAGGGGTATAAAATGATGTACCGACTTTCAACCGTCACTACGTGTCTCTAACGCGCAGATGTTTCCATCAAACATTAAAAACATATGTAAAAATTGTAAAAAAATATGACAAATGTAAAAATTTATAAAAAATATAATATAAGAAAAAAAGGTAAAAATTTAAAAAAAATATAAAAATTTATAAAAAAATGTAAACAAGATTATTTTTTTACCAAAATCGTTAGCGATATGAGTGTAGTAATTAAGTAGTAAGTACGGGTAAATGACATACGTACAGGCCTCTATGGCTTTCTTATAATAAAAGTAATTGTGTAATTTTTAGGGAATTTATGTCGGAATTTGGATTCAATTGTAAATCCGCGAAAGTAAAAATAAAAACATCCTTAGTGAAAAAATATTGAAGCGACAAGAACCTTCTTGTAGAACTAATACGTGGTCACTTTACAATATTAAAGATTTTCGGAATTAAGTTTATAAGTAATTTATTGCCGATATTAAACTACCTTCACTTAGGAACGTAAATAAATGAAATTAGGAAATGAAACTATATTTTTGGATCTACATCGCATTTTATTAAAAAACAAACCAACGTTTCGGGTCCTTTATGATCACGGTTGAGTGTGTAACAATCACGTAAACCTAAGAACTCGCCATGAATGAAAGTACCTACTCCGCAAAAAAACGATTAAAATCAGTTTTCTTCACTATTTCGCTACATCTATAACTGTGTACCTATATAAACAATGAGTAAGTAAGTGTACCTAATTTTGTTATAAGTACTGAATGCGGGGAATTTTCTTCATCGATATGATAGTAATAAACAGGGACAAAATATGTTTTGCAAAGTTTAATTTTAATTTGGATACTTTGTTGCCTATTTAATAATTGGCTCGAATTTGTCCCTAATAGCATCTAAAGAATCATCGAAGCATCGAAGTCTCCAAGCTCGCGAACGACGTGCTTGGAAACAGGAACGATAAAGAGTTTAACTCCTTAGTCGTTCATACATAGAACGTGGAAGCAAAAAGCTTGCAAATTCGATTTGAAATATCTACAATAAATATTTCGGTTTTAGATCGTGTTTGCACCTTGATTATTATTTTTTTTGACGCCAAGTGACAGGACGAACAAGACGTGCGTCTGGTGGTAAGCGACAAGCCTGGCAGCTGCAGTGCTACTCAGAGCTTTAAATCGGAAAGATCTAAGGGGTACTGTAATTGCGCCTGTCACCCTGAGACAAGTTAGTAAGTAAGTTGACAAGTCCCATGTGCCTGTAATTTCATTAGCACCCTTACCCTTCAAAATCGAAAATAAGCCAGCGGCTTAATTGTAACCGGTGGTCGGTGGGTCAGTGATTGTGCACCCTGCTTTAGTTGTGATGAAATACAGGCTTCTAGAAAATGCTTCGACGAGATACTTATTATCAACGAGTCTCTTAGCCCAGTTATTATGTAAATTTAATGCTTATAAAGTTCGATTATATTTCTATTCAGTAAAGATTGAAGATTGCCTATCTTCTAAATATACTTCGAAAGAATAATTCGTTAACTTAGTATGAAATAAATTCAATTCTGCTTCTCGACATTGAGCGACTGAACCTTAATTAGATTAGAGCTATAAATCAAAGGATTTATCTTTTGTTTCAGTTGCGGCGACGAAAGGACACCAGATGGAAAAATATAGCGTATTTGTTGCTTTGGCCCTTTGCATTTGTGCCACCGCGGCGTTAGACATAGAAAGTAAGTGTTGGGGATGTTTGTTACAATTTTCTTTTTACGCTTGCTTTAACTGGGTAATGGTTGTGAGAAACAGTTATGTTTTGTGGCAGATTTCTGGAACGCTTCCAACATTGTATTGACTAAGACATATCGGAGAATGAATGTTTTTGCATTGATTAAACTATTAGTGACAGGATAGGTATAAAAATATAATTTGCGGTATTATCAGTCATTAATCTAGATGACGATCTCAGTGGTATCTGCTAATCCCCTCATTAGGGTTGCACGATTTTTCACTTTGAATCGATTTTTTGGGTCGTAATGGATCATATGTTTTTAAACCGATCAACGGATCGGATCGTATGCTCTTGAATCGATCTCATAAAAATCGTTTCAAAATTAGTAATGTAACACTTTTATTACATGATGTAATTTCCATAATATGTAATTATTATTTTTTATTTTCACGATGCCAATCCTTTACATTTTATACTTTTCAAAAAATAATGTCATATAATTTAATATCCAAAGCATTGTCGTCCTTGACGAATTCATTAATAAGATTAGACTTTTGTTATAATTATGAATACGATCGACGTCTTACGACGATTCGATTTGTCTTAATTTTGAATTGATTCGCTTAAAAATCGCATTGACATTAGCCGATTCAAAAAATTGCTAGATCGTATGTAATTGAATCCATCTTCATAAAAATCGGATCGAAATGTGCATCCCTACCCTATATAGATTTACGGTAGTCAAAAACGAACTGCGGCTCTGCTTCTCACCGCCCCAACCCCCAATTCTTTTCAACCCCCAGGTTCTTATTGTTAACTAACTAACTAACTGCGGCGTTCGTAGGAACCGTTGCCAAAGGGAAGTTCTCAACATTCTCGAACTTCTCTATAATTCTCGCCAGGTTACCAGGTTAGTCAGGCCAACCATATCGCACTCCACCCCAAATTACCGTCCCCACTGGCGAGAACGAACAAAATTTTCTTTTAACACACTATTCTGGTGGAAGTGTCCACTTTTTTGTCGTTGGACATGAAACATCTAAATAGCGTAATTTGTGTTTTCAAACAAACCAATGTTTTTGACCCCTTTACAGGCCCTACGATCACGGCTAACTGAGATGAGGCCACCCGTAAAAATAGTTTCATTTCCACTATTTAACAGTCGCGAAAACTCAAGAAATCTTTTTGTCGTTGTCGGGTTTTTATTTTAGATCTTTTGTTATTTAGACCTTTCGTCGAAAGAGCAGATAGTTTTTTTTAAATATTATACATGTTTGGTGCTGCGTTTTAAAATATGCCAGACAATGCAATATTTTTTGGGATATAAAATAGCAAGGTATTTGGATATTTTGTCAATAAATTAAAAGCTATGCTTGTTTAGCATCTTTTAATTTGTAAGCGTAAAATTCCGTTCCCTATGGAATCCTATATTATATGTATTATATATTATAGGCATTTCGTCGGTTTTTAACCGTTCCTTGTAACTACAACCTGTAGGAGTTAAGTGTCCGTAACTGATTGAGCGTTCGTTATATTGAATCCGGTCTATCAAAACTCGTTATCTACTGATAATACTAAATTCAGCAATTTATTCCACATAATCAGATAGTTCCGTGATAAAATGTGTTGTACGGAGGCATCCTTATCATTCTGGGCAGTGGTGGTAAAACATCTAAATATAGACAATTGTTTTGCTCTATCAATATCAACCAGGAAGTAAGGACAATGGATTTATTTTTCTATAGGAGTAGCTATAGTAAATATGTTTTATT